TGGGGGGGGTCCCACAGTGGAAAATAGGAAACAGGTTGCAGGGAGGTGAGAGCCCTGGGTTATTTGCTAAACCTTAAAGGGTATGTGCAGTTTGGGGTGTGGACCCAACCTAGGCCCAACCCCAGGCCTGGCACAGAGACATCCCACCCTCCTGCCCAGGACCCTGAGGCCACCGGGCTGTCCACTTGGAGTTCCTCAGGGCCTCATGCTGATTGTGCCCCCATCCTGCCAAGCCCCTGAGGTAGGGATGGGGCAGGGCCTGGGCTGAGCCGAGGGGCCCAGGCCAGTGGCAGCAAGGTGGCCTAGATCAATAAGTTATTAGCACCATTCTGTCAGCTGTAAAGTGGAGATTGATCGTGCCGCACTTCCCGGGCTGATAAAAATGACAGATTAAGGGAATAAGGAAAAGGAATTAGGCTCTGGAGCTGATGGCAGAGCCCCCTCGCCAAGGTGTCATGGTGGCCCTGGGTCACAGAAGGGGCGGCTCTTGCACCCCACCCCCCAGACAGCCTCGTGTGATGGAGTGGGGGCTGGAGGCTGGAGGCCAACACTGTGATGGGCCCAGGAGAACAGGACCACTGCTGAGCTCTTCAGCAGAGACTTTAGACCTTGGGCTCAGGAGGGTGCCTGGCAGCCGGGTGCCAGGGACTGGGATGGAGAGGGCTGGCTCAGGGACATGGATGAGTGTGGTTTGGATGTGGGACCTGAGAGAGGACTTCAGGGAGGGGTAGGGTGGGGCTGGCCACATGTGTATGGGGTGAAGAGCTGCACACAGTGGGTGAGGCTGCTCAGGGCATCCTCAGGAGCTCAGAGCCTGCTCTGCAGGTAGCCATGTGTGTGACAGGCAAAGCCAGGGTGCTGGCTCAGGCCTTTTTGGGCCAGTGATGAATGTTGCTGGTAGAGGAACTAGGAGTAATGGATGTGGCAAGTGCACCCGACTTCAGGGGCCTCTAGGTGGCCTTCAGGGCCTGCAGCTTGGAGACCTCCCTTAGCAGGAAGACTGTGGGGCACCCTGGCGTGGGCCCCTGCACTGCCAGCCCTCACCCCATCCTGTGAGTCACATCAGGAGCCTTTTCTTCCTCTAGGCAGGGTGCTGAGCCAGCCTGCATTTGCACCAGACACCCAGTCTGGCTGGGTGGGGGGCATCAGGACGCCTGTGGGGTCCTAGGTTGCCACCTGAGGCTGTTATCAGATATCTGCCATCATACACACGTACACCCCAGAGCCCAAGGTCAGAAATGTCCTCTGGCTGAAGGCCTGGGACTCCGGCTAGCAAGGTCTTGACGTGGCCAGGACTCATGGACACCCTGAGCAGTGATGGGTGTGGTTCTGGGCTGACCTGGGGTTGGGAAGGGATGGAGGCCATGGTTGGGGTGGGCCTGAGTCTTCCCTGTCCCTCCCAGTCTCCATCTCCTCCAAAGCTTGAGATGTAGGGTGGGACTCACTCTACCCTCCCCCAGGTGACCTGTTGGGCAAGAGGCTGGGCCGCGCCCCCCACATCAGCACTGACTGCCCTTTGGAGAAAAAGGCTCGAAGCAAGTCCCCCCAAGGTGGGAGCCCTGTGAGGGGCAGTGGGACAGGTCAGTAGGTGGGGAATGTATAACTTAGACCCTCTGCAAGATGGGGTCAGCCCAACCACCGGTTCCAAGAGGAGAGGCCCTGCCTTTCCACTTGGGCAGTATCTGAATAAGACCCCTCCCCTTGTGCTCCCCACAAGCAGAGACCCTGTTGCTGCCAGAGCTAGGGCCCAGCATGGCCCCCGAGGATCACTACCGCCGGCTCATGTCCGCACTGAGTGAGGCCGGCACCTTTGAGGACCCGCAGCGTCTCTACCACCTGGGCCTCCCCAGCCATGGTAGGTGCCCCTTACTAAGTGTCCACCCATGTGTGCTGGGCTCTCCCTGCCCCTGGAGGCCAATACCCTGAAAAGAAACCCTGGGATCTCTGGCTGCTAACAAACAGCAAGGCTGTGCTGGGTGCCCGGCCATTGGCCCCTGAACCACCATAAGCAAGCTTCTTGTCGTTGCACAGAGGCATGGCTCGCCTCCTCCCTCTCTGCCCAAAGCAGGTCCCCCACCAACAGGTCCCCTGTGGTTCTATTCCCTACCCTATCCTCCAACTGCATGTCCCCTGTGGCCCCACCCCACTGTCTCCCACCCAGCAGCGCCACCCCCACCTCTCACCACACGCAGGCACTGTCATTTCATACTCTGAGTCTGACTGGGAGCGGGGTCCATGCCCCTGGGCAGTCCATGCAGGCTGTCCTGCACCCTGTCTGTACACTGCAGGCCCTCCCACTCCACTCCAGGATGTGGCAGTGTCAAGTGCCTCCTCCAGGGGGCCTCTGGGTCGGCCTGTGGGAGGCCCCAGAGGAGGGGAGCAGGCAGCCTCAGAACTTCTGCTGGTGGAGTCCAGAAGGCAGGGTGGGCAGCAGTTGAGATTTGGCCACCAGAACCTCACTGGCATTCGGGAGAAGCCCAGCTGGAGGCATTGTCCCTGCTCCAGTGCAGCACCCCCCCCACCCCCCAACCCTGTGCAAGGCTCTGGCCATCTGGCCATCCTAGCTCTCAGGGACGCTTAGAAGTCCCACCCACCATCACAGGATCACACTCCAGCCCCCTGCCCAGCTACACCCTGACCTCGCAGCCCCCAAGCCCCAGTCTGGGGAGCTTGGTTTTGCTGGCTGGAGGTGGGTGAGGGGTGCTGGGAAAGGGGGCAGGATTTCCTCTCCTTACACAAGGCAGTGTCCCCCAGGGCAGTCAGGCACCGAGAGCCTGAATTATTCACCAAATGTTAATAATTTAAAAATCTTCCTTTTTAATTGCTTTCCCTGCCCTGCCTGGGGCCGGCTCTGCCGGCCTGCGCGGGGGAGGGGCGCGGGCCGCGGGGAGCAGCGCCGGGAGCTGGGCTGT